ACCATAGTAATTTTCACTACAAAGCTCTGAAGTCTTTGAGAAAGTGGTTCATAGAAGTCCTATAAATATATGCTGAATTCTCCATTTTCTGCTACTTTTTAAAGCTTTTCCTTTATAAAATTAAGTCATTCTTTATAATATACATGCATTCAGATTATTAAAGGGTCTAAAATGAAGGCTATGTGAAAAATTTTTGCATTGTCATGCATTCGTGTCAATCCTGTCCTGGTGTTAAATATTATTTATTTCCCCCAAGATAAAATTTTTCAGAAATTTTAAATGAATTTTTTTGTAGACATTTAAAAGAGATAAAAGTTTATTATTTAAAACTTTCTTCATTCAACTGAAGATACTGTACCTTTGGGCCCTAGTTGCTGACTTGCTTATAGTCTCTGGGCTATAAATTAACATTTGATTTACTGTGTAGCTGCCATGAAATTTTAACTTGTTTGTGAAACAGTCAAATAAAGGTGATCTGAGATTTTTAATGTGTGTTCTTGGGCTTAGACTGGCTTTAGTACAGTTTAAACACAGTGACAGAGCAAAGGTATATTTTTTCAAATGGTGCTCTGGTTGGCCTATAATATTTAATGACCAAAGTAAAACCAACTGCTGCCTGCCTGCCTAATAATTAACACTTTTCCTATCTTCTTTTATAACAGTCAAATCCTTCAGACTTGGAAAAAAACATATAGATGATTGGTAGGTAGGTAAGTAGGTAGATAGAGGTAGAAAGATACAGAGTGAAATAGAGAGATAACCAGGTACAGGAAGATGTCAAGAAGATGACTTAATTCAGATTTTAAACAAAAAGGGGAAGGGAAGGATGCTAATACTTGGAAAGAGCCTCCTATGGTGAGATATTTTACATTATTTGTGTGTATTTGCATATTATGTTGTACATATTACATTATACATTATGTTATTACATTTATATGTAATATATAACTATATATTACATAGATAATTTATATAATTCAAGGAACAGTGAAATAGAGATTATCCCCACTGTATAAATGAGGAAACTCCATTGACATAGTTAACACTGTCTTAACCAGGTCTCACTCCTTTGTCGTTCGGCTGCTCGGCCATGTCTGACTCTTTGCAACCCCATGTACTGTATCACGCCAGGCTTCCCTGTCCTTCACTATCTGCTGGAGTTTGTTCAAACTCCTAGTAAGTGTATGTGTGACTCCAACACTGATCTTTTCCTGCTTATCCTAAGCCAGTATCACCCGTATGTCGCCAGGAATCAACGGAACCAAGTTTGTATCATTGCACCCAACGCGTGAAATTGATGATGACAAAGCCACTGAATAATGACAAGATCAGTGAAGCACACCAAAACCAAACTTGTAAGTCAAGAATCGCTAAGACACATTTCCTTCCTCCCTAGGCAGTCTGTCTACAGGAAATTGCTAGTTTTGGTAAACAAACAGGAAATTGGTTTCTTGTCAGGCAATCACGGTGACACTAATTTGGAAAACTGCCACAGTGAACATGAGAAACATCAACCAGCATGTCAAACCAAAAGCAAAACAATGGGAGGTGGATCGGGATGCCACCGGTGACACCATTCTTCCCACGAAAGCAGTTTTCTGTTCTTTTGAGAACGCAACCTCAAAGAGACCCTCCCAAGTCAAAGTCACCAGGGGCTCTCCCCAGGGTGCACTCTAGGGATGCTAGCAAAACTTGATGTCACATGGGAATCCATGCCAGGAAGACTGGTCCTGAGGCAAAGGTGTTTCAAAGTTAAATTTGTCAGAACTAAAGTTTTTGTTTCTCTCCATAACAAACCCTGCCTTTGGTGCTCCTCCTCAGATCCACCAAGAATGGACCCTGAATCCCTGCCCTGCCCTTCCTCACACCAGCAAGGCAGCATCTTCTCTGCTCAGGATTACTGAAGGCTTGTTCCATACAAAATGGGTATCCAGCACCTGCAGAAGTCCCCAACCGTCCTGGTTGTGATTTATCCCCAAGGAGAAGAGATGTGTTCCTCTGATTCAGCAGCATTTCCCAAAGTGTGTAATGACAAACTACTTAAAGCAAGCACTACCTCTTTATCTCTGCTTCCCTGCCTTCTCTTAGGGCAAAATTTTCTAAAACTGTCATCCTACGGGAGCATCCTCACGGTTTAAGGACATCCATCTCCCACCTCCCCTAACAGGACCACACTGAGATGCCACTCATGCTGTCAGTTACAGCCATAGCATGGAACTGTATACCTTTAAATTTGTGATCTTTACTTAAGTCAGTATATTTTAAATGAAAATTGTGCCTACTATGAATAAAAAACCAGCATCACTCGGGATATATTCAAGTGATGATCGAAATAAATACAAAGCAAAATGGCAGAGAGGCTCCAGTCCACATGCCCTCCCCCAGAAACATCAATTTAACAACCACTCACAGATTAGAACACCTTTATGGAAGCCCAGGAGTACACCTGAGATGTTCCAGCACCTCAGTGGAGCAAAAAAAAAAAAAAAAACTGAAAAAGATGCCTTTCTCAGAGGAATCTGAAAAAGGACAAGAAGAACAGTTTCACTTTACCGCATCACCCGTCCTCCAAGGCAGCCCAGCTCAGAGCCAAGAGACTCCTTGGTCCACAGTTTCTCCTTTGGGAAAGCAAAATGAGTCTCTGATCCCGCCCACCTTTGCAGGACATTGCCCAAAAGGCCACTCTGTCTGTTCTGCCAAGAACACAGAGGCAGTCTGCACAACTGAATATAGTCTGAGCCAGCTAGAAGCTGAGAGGAAGTGGCCCAGGGCTTACAGCACTGAGGAATCTCAACAACTAGCCACAGATCCTGCTACCTGGCCAGTCTCCACCATGAGTCCTGCTCACAAACAATATGAAGGCTCCTCAAAAAAATTAAAAATAGAACTACCACATGATCCAGCGGTCCTACTACTAAATATTTATTCAAAGGAATTAAAATCAGGATCTGGAAGAGATGTCTGCACTCTCAGTTTCACTGAAGCGTTATTTACTACAGCCAAGGGGTGGAGCCAAAAGACCCTGATGCTGGGAAAGATTGAGGGCAGGAGGAGAAGGGGGTGGCAGAGGATGAGAGGGTTGGATGGCATCACTTGATGGACATGAGTTTAAGCAAACTCCAGGAGTTGGTGATGGACCTGGAAGCTTGGCTCGCTGCAGTCCATGGGGTCACAAAGAGTCAGACATGATTTAGAGACTGAACAAAAACAAAGGTGTGCAGACAACCTGACTGTCTGCTGATGGATGAGTGAATAAAGAAAATGTGGAGTATATGCACAATGCAATATCATGCAGCCTTTAAAAAGAAGGAAACCCTGCCATTTGTGACACCATGGATGGACCTGGAGGACCTTTTCTTAAGCAAAATAAGCCAGACGCGGAAAGACAAATCATATTTGACCTCACTTGTATGTGGGATGTAAAATAGTTCAATTCACAGAAGCAGAGAGCAGAATGGTGGTTGCCAGGGGCTGGAGGAGGAGGAAAAGGAGAGATGTTGGTCAAAAGGTACAAAGTTTCAGTTAAACAGGATAAACAAGCTCTGGAGATCCACTAGAGAATAGTGCTCATAGCCACAATTCTGTATACTTAAAATTTACCACAGGGTATTCATTACATTTAGTGTTCTTTACCACACATTTAAAAAACAATATTACTACTTTGTAACACATTATAAAGTATATTTTATTTAATTATATAAAATGCATTACCTATGTTATAGTACATATATTTAATATTTATTAATAGTATATGTTAGTGTATCAAGGAAACTTTGGGGGAGTGACAGATATTTCTGGTTCTGATGGGGACAATGACTTCATCAGCTCAGTTCAGTCGCTCCGTCATGTCCAACTCTTTGAGACCCCATGGACCTCAGCATGCCAGGCTTCCCTGACTTCACAGGCACATACTTACCCCCAAACCCATCGAGGTCACTTCCGCCTCTGAGGGAGAAAGGGCTGAAGTGATACGGGTGCGGATGGAGGGACGTGTGTAGGTGAGCAGGGAGGTTCTGACAATAGTCTGTTTTCACTGCAAAGTAGAATAGTTAGTCACCCTCTGAGAACCAGGGGATGACGCTCGGGGTCTAGAGAGACTGGAAAGGTCTGGAACGTCCATTAAAGGCTGGAGCCAGCGCAGCCCGGGCCACCAGAAGGCCGGGGCACTACAGCCTGAAGCTGCTGCGGGGCATCGTCAGAAGGGACCTGAGACTCACTTGTACTCGGTGACCTGGAGACCCCAGTGCACACAGCTCAGAGCAGGCTTAGGTCCTAACAGCCTATGTGGGTGCCAAGTCGGGAAGGAAAGAAGCAATGACAACTCCTCGCGAAGGCCCGCCCTGCGGTGATCACTCCTCCCCTGCTCACCAACACACCTCACTGCAGTTGTAGACACGTAAGTATCAGTCCTGCTTAGTGCAAGTCGGGGAACTGAGGATCCAGAAACAAGGCCCGGCCTGAAGCAAAGCGCAAGCGTGAAAATAAACCCAAACCATCTCGAAAGGGGAAAGGAGAATTACCTCAGTCACCCCGTTAATTAAGAAATAGTTTTTTTTTAAAATGCAAAGAGGAGATAAGACACTTAAACAGAAACGAGCGTTGTTCAGAACCAAAGTTTTAAAGGTTAACTGCTAGTGCCTCACACTGAATACAGTAGTTTTGTTAAGAGAACAATATTCAGTTAAGTTTGGTGTGTCAACCCCGCAAGGTAAGTGTATCAGTCAGCCATGATGATAAACTCGTGGAACTTTTGCATAAAGCAGCTGTTTAAAGATGTTGACCTCCACACAGAGAAAGTAGGTCGTCTTTCTGCCTAAGTGCAAAAGAAAAAAAGCCACCACTGAAAAAGTGTCAAATTTTCTGGCTGTTTTGAAATTTTCAGTCGCGATAGAAAGGTCTCAAAGTCTCCTGCCAGAAACACACACCAAACAAAACTCCAGATTCAAGTGCTAAATCATGTTAGTGAGGTGATAAGAAAAGGGCTGAGGGGCTCCAGCTANGCGAACAAACGGAAGTATAGGTGAAGGTCTGAGGCAGCACCGCCAAGCTGGGCACCGGGGAGATGGCCGAGACTGACCCGAAGACCGTGCAGGATCTCACCTCAGTGGTAAGGGGCGGCTGTATGAGACGCGCCTGAGGCCGCTGCAACCCTGGGCGACTCCGGCGAGGCCCACGGACCGAGGCGCCCTCTCCGCGGCCGCGCGGGGCGGGTCTCTGGAGGCCCCGTTTCTGAAGGCTTTGCGGCCGCGGCCCCCCTACCTTGAGTGCCCCCGGTCGCTGTCTGTAGGCCCCTCACCTGCTGACGCGCCCGGGTCCCCCGGCCCCGCCCCATTCACTCTCGGTGACCCCCGGACCCCGCAGCTCCCATCCCCAACCCTCCGCCCCGCGCGCTGCACCCCAAACCCACCAAGGCAGCGGGTCCAGAAGGGAGGGGGCGTCACCATCCCCTCCCACCCCACCCCCGCCCCAAGTCTTACTCACCAGTTGGGGAAACTGAAAGCCAGACAGGGAAATTGAAGGCCACGGAGCTGCGGTGCATTGGGGCTGAACCCGGGGTTCTTGGTCTCCCCAAGGGACCAGAGTTCTACCCTGATCCCGTGACGGCGTCTCTGGGGTAAGCGTGGGGTGTTGTGTTTTGTCGTTTCACAGGTGCAGACACTCCTGCAACAGATGCAAGATAAATTTCAGACCATGTCCGACCAGATCATTGGAAGAAATATCCTTTATTTGTAGTCAGTCTCTAATGTGTCATTGGATTCCATTTTTCCAGATAGTCGTGGCGATAAATGGGTAGTTTGCAGGTCAACTTCCACTTGTCATTTATCAGATTTTTTGTGTGTTTGTTTGTTTTAGTGAGCTTAGGTGCGCACTTCTGAGAAGTACTGTGCAGAGATCTAGGGATACAGCTGAGCTAGATCCCTGGCAGCGAGGAACTTTCAGTCTATCATAATATTGTCTAGAGTGGTTGACTGTGAGCTAAGCATTTCATGTGTAGATCTCCCGTGATCCTCACCGTCACCTGACGAACAGGTTGTAGCAGATAAAGAGTCGAGAATCTTAGAAAAGTGAAAGAACTTGCCCAGGTCCTTTCACAAGAATAACGGCAGGGCTTGGATGTGCTCTAAGCCAGATTCTGACACTGTCCAAAGGAAATTAGGAAAGCACTTTGATTAGGCCGCTGTGTTGAAGGCGCTAGTCTGCAGGGACCTGGGGGAGAAGGGTAGGAAGTGGAAACTCTGGTGCCTTGTCTTTAACTTCCCCACTTGATGATATGAGCAGTCGCATTGATGACCTGGAGAAGAACATAGCAGACCTCATGACGCAGGCCGGGGTGGAAGAGCTGGACGGTGAGAACAAGATCCCGGCCACACAGAAGAGCTGAAGGTGAGCGGAGGGAGGAGCAGGACCCTGGTACAGGTCCCTGTGACTTTGATGTAGGTGGGCTTCCTCTCCTTCCGTCCCCAGCCACGAACCAGCAAGCATCCCTTTGTTGTTGCCCCTGGGAACTCCAGGCTCTGAATTTTTCATGCCAAACTAATCCTTATGAGGAGTATATTTTTCCTGTTTTTATCAGTGAAACCTAGATTACCATTGAGTAATATTAGATAACACTGAGTTTATACCAGTACAGCCAAAACAAAAAAGTGTATTTTGTTGGCCTGAAAATTCGAATCACTGGCAGATCTTCCAGTGGCTTTTTGGGGATTTTTTGTTTAAGAGAACACCCACTTGGCCACCGTCGTAAATGCCATAAGTTCTAAGGATTCTCTTGCAGGAACAACCCCTGCACGAGGTAAGTGCCAGGACAATAACTGATTATGTATGATTTAGATGACCTTAACTATGCGATGTTAACCCTTCATCCTAGAGTTGATTTGAATTTCCATGGGAGAGACTAATAATCAAAAATAGCAGTTAAAGCAAGATAGCTAGACACATAGATGACTGCTTTCGTCTCACCATAGTGGATTCCTTCATGGTAAGCCTTTTCTAGAGTGTGGCATTTACCTCATTACAACCCAGAAGTCATTTTTAAACTCTCTTTGCACTTTTAGCATTTTGTTATTGTTGTCAGTTGCTGAGTTGTGTCCGACTCTTTTGCAACCGCTTGAACTGTAGCCCACCAGGCTCCTCTGTCCATGGGATTTCCCACCTAAGAATACTGGAGTGAGTTGCCATTTCCTTCTCCAGGGGAGCTTCCTGAGCCAGGGATTCCTGCATTGTAGGCAGATTCTGCTCAGATACTGCTGAGCCTCCTGGGAAGCCCTTTAGCATTTTAATTTCCTGTAAAAAATGAAGTTTACTGTGAATGTTTAGGTAACTAGAGTACCAAGCAGAATATACAGGAAAAGACACCAAATTCTTTTTTTTATTTTCTGAGCATATCCTGGCTGGACCAAGTTATAGGTAACTATAAAATAAAGGTTGCTTTGAAGCCCAAGAAAATAAAGGTTTGAGAGGTAAAAAATCTTAAATTTACTGTTATCTTAATAGTGGATAGGGTTGATGCACTATGTGAGTAAATCACAAAGTTGTTTTTGTGGTTGTCACCTTGATTCCTTGTAGACTTGGGCAATGTCCTTCCTGTCTTAGGAGCTTCTCCAGGTCTCATGTCATCCAGCTGTCAAAAACCCCATCAAGTGAATGAGAACACCCTCTCAAGAACTGCGGGATTGAAGAATTTCAAGTGACAAGCATAATGCAAGAAAGGGAGTGGGAGTAGGAAACAGTCACAATAGACTTTTTAATAAAGGTTTTATTGTAGTTTTGCTAGGATTTTATGCAGACAAAATACATTTAGTTCAAATGAGGATTCTGAAAGGATTTTTTGTTACTAATTCTATGTATTATTTTTGTTTGTCCTTATAGAGTGAATAGCACATTGATGGCTTTTCCTTTTTCAACAGGTTGCTTGTCTTCGCTGGAATCTGGAACACCTTTTTACAAGCCAAGAGGAGACAGATGGCTTTTTCAACTACTATGTGTAGACAGGTTTTATATTATAAAGTGTGCATTCTTCTTACCACATACTATAGAGTTAGTTTATGGAGTGACTTCCCTCCCCTGCCCCCCATGTTTCCTAAACATGGTGACTTCACATCTTGGACCTTGGTCAGTTGTGCTATTAAACACTAAAACTTCGGCAGTTCCTGCATACAGTCGTCCAACTTTCTAGTGTATTTTCGTGAGGTTATTTTTTTTTCTGTCATTCCCTTTGTAGTAGTTGCTATTTGATAGAAGTTGCTGCGTGATTTTTCTATTAGACATAAAGTAAATTCTTGGTTATAATTAGATTTTGTGAAGTAAGGCATTTATAGTTAAGGTTCTTTGATTCTCAGAGTGAACCATTGAGTGAACACCAAATAGTGTGTTGGTGATACTTTTCAAGTGGTTAAAAACATTTAAAATTGTGTATTCGGAATATCTGGCACTACTGTGTCGCCAAAACTCAGAACTGAACCACAATCTTATATCTGAGTCCCTGAGGCCAGATGCCACAGTAACTTAGAGTGACCACTGCCACTTTAGTGTTAGAGTTTTTAAATATGGAAAATGACAGAGTTGCCTGATGTGATGAGGCTTTCAGTAGTTAGAGTTTTGCATGAGATTTGAATTCTTCAGTCGGACCCTACATTGTCCATTCACAGTCATTACCATAGGAAATCTGGCAGGATTGTACAACTCAGTTACTCCCATCTTTCGAGCTACTGGCCAGTAAAAGAAACAGAAGAGGAAAACAGACCATGTTAAGCCCACACCAGTTGTTTGGCTAGAAGGTGATAAATAACTTGTAGTAGGCTTGAGTTTTTAAGAAACACTGCTGCTTTATACTGTTCCTACCTGAATTCAAGCAGAGCAGTGGCTTTATTCCTGATGATACTGCTCAGCTGAGTGTATCAGGAGTTTTGATCCTGGAGGCAGTGTTGACAGGAAGGGGAACCACATGACTGTCGCAGCAGGGTGATTTTGTAGAGAAAATGGAAGAAGTTGAGGAATGAAATAGTGTTATGGAGAGGAAAGCCCATAGTCAACACAGTATGATTTTTTTAAAGTTTCCTATGTCACCAGTCTTAATTGTATTGGAAATGTATAATAAGATTAAGGAATAATGTGTCCTGTTTATAAAGTATCCGGGGAGCACAAAGGATTCAGTTTCTTCTGGACAAGATGGATTCCCCGCTGTTAGCCCCGAGCTGCAGAAAGCCCTTCACTGGGCTGGTGGGTCCTGCTGTGGGTTTGGCCCTGAAAGCCCAGAGCGCACTGGGGCGGGACAGGAGCTCATCCAGGTGCTTCCAAGCCTGGGAGACGGCAAGTGGGCAGTCGGGTGTGAGGAGCTGGCTTCCTTAAGTAACAGGAAGTTTTCAGAGGAAACTCCCCTGACCAAAAATACCTGCCATGAATAAAGGTGCCTGAAATCCTGCTGTTGATGCTTCCTTTTGTGTCACAAATGATTGGTTTTCCTAGTTTTCATACCATTTTCAGGTGATCGGCTAGAACCTCTGGAAAGGTTCAGTACCAACAGCCAAAGTGGGTACGGATGGGAGGTGCTGGGGAGACTGTGCTGCCAGAAAAGAAGGCTAGGCTCACAGCCACGACAAAGGAGAGAGCATCGTTGCTATGGGGACAGAGTCCAACAGACAACATACAGTGAACCTTTTAAAATCCTGTCTGTACACTGACAGTTTCCTATATGGATAACTGTTCTTTTATTCTGTACTTTCTGTTTTAATTAGATTAAAATGGAGGGATTTTCACAGTGTGTTGTCCGACCTCACCCTAAACATTAACTGGCAACAGTTATCAATTAGTCGCAGCTACCAGCACCTGTGAAAGCGTTTGTTGTAAACCACGGTGCTATGCGAACATTTTGTTTACATACTCGACTTCATCCTCATGACAGACATGAGTTAGTTTTTATCTGATCAGCCCATTTTAAACAGAAGGAACCCAGTGCTGGGCAACAATTGAGCAAGTCACACAGCTGGAAGCAGGGACCCTGGAACCACCACCAACAGCTGCCCACCCAGGTAAGGCTTCCAAGAAGTCTTGGCCGGGCTGTCTGGGAATGAAAAACCTGCCACCTCAGTGGATCTTGAAATTCAGTTTTGAAAGGCTAATTTCAGTTAAACATGACCTAAATTAAATAACAAACATGCTTGATGTGAATTTTTATTCAGAATTAAAACTCTTCAGGGCTGTTAGAAATGTGCTCTCAGACTAGCATCTTTTTCTTCCCCCTGGAGAGGTTATTTGAGAACAGCTGTAGAAGCAAACCAGTTTCTCAGATGTTTGCCCTGACAGACTGCAGGGAGTGCTGGCTACTGGGTCTCAATTGTTTCCTTACTAGCACCCCCCAGCATTTCTCTTCCTCTTAACATTATCCCTTGAGACTCTCTCCTAATGCCCTTTTGGCTTATGGTCTTGTCGGGTCTCTTTTGTTTAAAAAAAAGAAAGACAGTACTGCAGCATTAAAGTTCCCGTGCAGCATCACCCGCAACCTTGGGCTCCTCATGATGTGAAGCATCTGCATTTAGCTGTAACTTCTTTAAAACCTTGAGTGAATGAGGAAGGGCGGGGATGGTATGTGAGTCACTGCCTGAGAACAAACCAGAGGAATGGCGACGGAACGTCACACTCGCCGAACTCCCAGGTGACTCTGGGAATAAGGAGTTTGTCTCCACAAGTCAAGTCAACTCTGCTAGAAAAGAATCTGCTCAACCCTCACACACTGAGGCTTCCACCAAGTGAGGTTAGGTCCTGGAAGCTTGGACACCTCTCCAGTACAGAACTGTTCCCGAGGGGCCCTGGCCACCACTCCCTGATGCATCTGCACTGATGCAGGCTATGTGCACATCATGGGATGCTCATGGCCTCGTGATGATCACCTTGGCTGTGTATCTATACTTCCCTCCATTGTGGGTGTATTTTGACAAATGATTCCTATGGTCACTGGCAAACATCTGCCTTCTAGATGGAACAGTATCATTTCCCAATAGTTAAGCTTAAATTTCAGGATTGAGCAGTTTGGAAGCATTTAGCTGCAAAAGAGGTTTTGTGGTCTCAGGAAGGAGGGTAGCCCCACAGAGAGTGAATTCCATGCCCACAGGATCAGCAAGGACCCAGAAAGCCCCACCCAGGTGAAGCCCACAGACAAGAGAACACCCTCCTCTCATCTCTAAGACTGAAGAAAATAATTCCTCCAAGTTCATGCCGCCCAGGCCTCAGCTCTTCAGAGCACTCAAAGGTCACTGACATCAAGAAGTTTTCCAGCTGCAATCTTTGTCTCCTTTACCCTTAGAAAACACACCCCCAGACTGCTAGTGATTTACTGCCTCTTACCTTTTATGCTTCACTGACTACGCTAAAGCATTTGACTGTGTGGATCACAGCAAACTGAAAAATTCTTGAAGAGATGGAAATATCAGACCATCTTATCTGTCTGCTGAGAAACATGTTGCACATCAAGAAGCAACAGTTAGAACCAGTCCATGGGACAATGGACTGGTTCAAAATTGGGAAAGGAGTACATCAAGGCTGTATAAATGTCACCCTGCTTATTTAACTTTATGCAGAGTACATCCTGTGAAATGCCAGACTGGATGAATCACAAGCCGGAATCAAGATTGCTGAGAGAAATACCAACAACCTCAGATGTGCAGATGATACCACCCTAATGGAGAAAGCAAAGAGGAACTAAAGAACCTCTTGATAAAGGTGAAAGAGAATGAAAAACCTGGCTTAAAACTCAGCATTCAAAAAACCAAGATCGTGGCATCTGGTCCCATCACTTCATGGCAAATAGATGGGGGAAGAAATGGAAACAGTGAGAGACTTTTATTTTCTTGTGCTCCAAAATCACTGTGGACAGTGACTGCAACCATGAAATTAAAAGACACTTTCTCCTTAGAATAAAAGCTTTGACAAACCTAGACAGTATTAAAAAGCAGAGATACCACTTTGCCAATGAAGGTTCATATAGTCAAAGCTATCGTATTTCCAGTTGTCATGTACGGATGTGGGAGTTGGACCATGAAGAGGGCTGAGCACTGAAAAATTGATGCTTTCAAACTGTGGTGCTGGAGAAGACTTTTATGAGTCCCTTGGACAGCAAGGAGATCAACCCTGAATATTCATTGGAAGGACTGATGCTGAAGCTGACGCTCCAGTACTTTAGCCACCTGATGCAAATAGCCAACTCACTGGAAAAGACCCTGATGCTGGGAAAGATTCAGAGCAGCAAGAGAAGGGGGTGACAGATGAGATGGTTGGATGGCATCATCGACTCAATGGGCATGAGTTTGAGCAAACTCTGGGAGATAGTTAAGGACAGGGAAGCCTGGTGTGCTGCAGTCTGTGGAGTAGCAGAGTCAGATACGGCTGAGTGACTGAACAACAACCTTTTGTGGGTCTTGGGAAGTTGCCATCAAGATCCAGTGTTTCCAGGAAGATAGTTTAAATATTAAATATAAAGCTACAGACCTGTTATGGAGAAGAAAACCAGTTAATTTTAATGGGCTGTAAATAATCATCAGAGAAGTCATTTCTGGAAATTTAAAGAATACGGTTGTTTCTTTTAATGATACATTCTCCTGGTAATAGACCTCTTAACTGATTGTGCTCCATGATCCTGCTAGGACAAAGGACGAGCCCAAATTCTCTGCAGAATAGAAGCCTGAACTGGCCTGCTACACTAATTGCAAGGCTTCAAAACAGTGTCCCAGAAAGAAATCAGACTTGCCCCTTGATAGGCAGACAGTTCTTGATCAACTCCCCTCAGTCAGAACCCGTGTTCCTTGGACCCATAATTAGGAATCTTAGATAAAAGGACTGCTCTGAAACTAGCTGAAAGATTGTGCTGTCTTGCCAGCAGAATTTCAAAAAGGTTGTTGATTATCACAGGTCAGCCTTGGGGTCCATGAGCCCTCATCACAGTTGATTATATGAAACATCCATTTCGCCAGCATCGCCCAAAGGAAATACAGTAGGATTCAGTGGGTCAATCTCATTTTCTCAAGAGCAGACAAGCCTTTGAGATGACCTGTGCCTCAGCCTCGTCCTCCCCAGAAGGGAAAGCAGCGCCTCTGGCACAGCTGAGCCGGTGTTTTTGGAATCACTGAGAGCATATCCCGCCTCCCCCACCCCCGGAACTGCCAGACATTTCTTGGGTATATTTATCCTAATCTGTATTCCAGAACAGTTCTGGACCAGATGTGTGAGTAATACTTTAACTGGGGGCTGTTTGACAAGTTTAGAACATAAAGGATCTCTTTCTATACTCAGTGATCCAGTGTTAGTCGCTCAGTTGTGTTCGACTCTGCAACCCAATGGACTCTCGCCCACCAGGGTTCTCTGTCCATAGGATTCTCCAGGCAAGAATACTGGGAGTGGGTTGCCATTCCCTTCTCCGGGGGATCTTCCCGACCCAGGGATCAAACCCAGGATCTCCTGCATTGCAGGTAGATTCTTGATGGTCTGAGCCAGCAAGGAAGCCCTGTGATCCAGTAAATTGGGCAAGAATTCTTTGAAACAAAAGCAGACCCTGTGGTTGGGGCCTGGCAACCTGAGCTTTTGGTTTTGGTTGGTCTTTTGTTGTTTGTTTGCTTTTTTTAATGTCTTTGATCAATTTATTTGTTAATTTGTTTTTAAGTGGAGGATAATTGCTTTACAGTGTTGAGTTAGCTTCTGCTGTACAACAGCGTGAATTAGCTCTAAGTATACATGACTCCTCCTCCTCAAGCCTTTCTCCCACCACCATCCCCCATCCTACCCATCTAGGCCATCACAGAGCGCCAGGCTGAACCAGCCTGAGTTGTTACATGACCACCAAGAGACTCTGAGCCCCCTCAAGTGTGAGAACCAGGCCCTCGGGTGCCAGCTCCAGTTGTCTGCTGGCTTTGGGGGATCGGACTAGTCTAAACACAAGAAGCCCCCGGGGGATTAACATGCAGATTCCTGGGCTCCTCTTCTGTAGAATCTGATCCAGTACGGGTGGGACATGGGCTGGGAGTCCATGTATTTAATCAGTTCTCCTGTCATTTCTTTTTTTATATTCTTTCTTAAACTCAGGAAAACACTACATGGAGAAATGAGGCGGCAGGGAAAATACTCTCACTCTGAGGGACTCGGGCCGGGGCTGGTCCTAAGGTAATTTGAAAGGAATTGAGTCTTAATTACCCAGAACATCAGAGCACGGGGTAGAGCATGACCTTTCCAGCCCCGTGAAATGAGGAGCTCGCCCTCCAGCCCAGGGAGCTGAGCACGAAGGGCCCTCACTCCACAAGGACTGGAAGCACTTTAAATCAATTTGCTTCTTATTAAGATGCACTTCAATAAGAAATCATTTCAACTCTTAAGGCACAAAAGGATAGCCAGTCATTTAAAGCTTCCTGAGTGCTTCGGTTGATTAAAAAGGTTTTAAAG